CACCACCACTACTACTACTACTACTACTACTACTACTACACCCTCTTGGGAAGGGGGGAACGTACGCCCATAAACTGCTTCATCTGCCGCTTTTGGATGCGGTCGGCGAGGATTTGCTGTTCGGAGTTTGTGAGGCTTTTCACATCTTTATTAGCGACATTCTTGCGGGGCTGAGGGGAAAGGAAGGGGGAGCGGGGGAGGGAGAGGACATACCCGTCCATTTTGGTTGTGTGGGTTGTGTGGTTGTGGTGGTTGTGGTGGTTTGACGATGGTAGGCAGCGATGATGTCGATTGAGACTGAGCTTCCACCAGGTGTTATCGCCGATAAGAAATTTCCGTGCCTTGGGACTGTTAAAAATGGTCTGTGCGCAGCGTTTGTCCTATGACGAAGGGGAGCGGGTTGTGCCGAAGCCGAGCCGGCAGGCCGGGGAGGTGGGTTCATAGCAACAGGAATCTTTCACCATATGGGGATGTTTCAAAAAAAATGGCATTTTTTGGGGGAGTTTTTCGGTTAATGGGGCAAGAGCGGTGAGTGAATTGGGGAGTTGGGTTGTGTACAATGAGAGGGGATGGGGAGTCCACTATGTGTTAATATGATATGAGGCTGGAGTTTCCCCTGCATCTGGATGACTTTGTGTTGAGGTAGGCTTCTCTTGAGCATATCCGCTGGGCTATTCATCATGTTTGGTGGTCTCTTAGTAAACGTGTTGAACATCCGCGAATATCTTAAGCCGGTGTTTTCCTCTGGAGAATCCCCTTTCTGGTACAGACTTGGCCCGCATATCTAGATGGAGATGTAGGGATGGCCAATCAGAGATGCCCCAAAGGCGCCGGCAGCAAGCTGAAGGAAGAACGACCTATGACGTTGGCAGAGAGAGCTCGTATCACTCGAGAGGGCTGAGAGATGAAACAAGCGCTTTTGCTTCTGGTCTGGAAGAAGGAAGAATATTGATTACCTACCTAGCTATATTGCGGGGTCTGGATGCTCTGGAGTTGAGGTTCCAGAGTCTCTTGTAAAAATTAAAAATGTGACCTGTAAGGTACCACCAAGCATCTGCCGCACTGTGTTGAAATTCAAGCGGGTGCACATGACCCCCAGAATGGCGGATGATGGGGTCGACCATAACCAGCCCGTCGCGAATCAAACCCGCTGGAAACCAACGACCCAGAACTCTGGGGAGGCTATAGGAGGCCACCATCATCCTCGGCCGCATCCGGCGCCTGGTTTCTCCAGGCCTACCTTACCCGCCAGCGAGGGAGGTTGCAAACCTGCTATAGATCGCCAGCGTTATTGCGTCTGTTGCCGGCGGCGGCGGCGGAGGGAGGTTGCGCTAATGGATCCCTGCAGGATCGAGCAGTTCCCCAAATCGAAGAGCTGAACAACACATCGCGATGGGGAGAGGCTTTCTTGCTCGATATTTTCCATGCAGGGTCAGCTGACGACAAGCCAATTGCAGCCGCATACTTGGTGAATAACTGCAGGCAAGCTCTAGTGGACGCTGTCAAGAAGGATTTCATTCACATAACAAAGTGATGAAGGAGGGGCAAAAAGGATGACGAACTCCCCAGAGACACCGCTGTGCTATATTTGGAAAAATATATCGCGTGGCCAGCAAGGGAAGAAAAAGCCGCCGTCAATCTCCGTTTTCCAGTGGACCGGTTTGGCGCTCCAAAAGTTGGGAAAGGCTGGAGTTGGTTCCCGGCGGACAAAATAACAATGAGCGAAAACAAAAGATTCCCCGGAGACGAAAGACTTTGTTTTTTTTTTTTTTTTGCGTTGTTGATTCATAAAAAGCTCAAAATGCACCATCAAACAAGCAGATGCACGTCGCGGCAGCGGCTGTTGGGAAACCACAGTCTAGAAGTTGTCTATTGCTGCAGTGAACCCTACATACGTCATTAGTCCCATCTCTCGATATGGGTTTAGATAGAATAGGTAGATGGCTCCCTCTTCCAGGCTTCAGCTGTTGCTGAGAGTAGCAATTCAGGGACAATTTCCATGGCATCGCTTCCACGATTGGACTGATTTCGTGCGCCATAAGCGACCCCCCAAAGATGGACAAGATCTTCCTGTCGACTTGCAGATGGTGAATCCTGTTCTGGGAAAGCAAGTGTGCTGTAATTCTGAGCAAGGTCTCAAAGTCCCACCACGCCAGGCCAGGTTTGACATGTCTTGTGAGGGCCGAGGCAGAGGCTGGTGCGACAAGCGTGTGCTGCGGCAGGGACCGGGGGAGCTCGACTTCGGGGGACGGAGGAGGGGGGCCAGCTGGGCAGCTGAGCGTTGAAATGGAGGGGTAGCATTTTTGACTGTTGAGAGAGCGTTTCGTTCACGATGGTAGCATGGTGGTTATTATAGCCGTATCAAATGCCGGGATCTGCGGTGAAGATCTCTGTGGTCATTCCCCCTTCTGAAATGCTATTCCCGCGAGCAAACCCATCGAGAAACAAATGGCCAGGTGGTCGCCGGCCAGAATCAAAACCCCTCCCGGGACGGCTATGACTGGGGGGCTTGAAAAAGAGCTGGGCAGCGGGCACGGACGGGCAGGGCTGTCCACTTTGATCCATTGTCCAGAATCCAGAATCGAGCCTCCAAAGAACCACGTCCCTGGCAGCCGCAGTCTTGGGGGAGGGCCTGGCCAAGTCGGAGTCTGCCATCCTTTGTGATTTTCTTGTCTTGGTTGCGGGCACGGCGCTGTATTCTTGAAGCAAACGATCCGTGGTACCTCAGACTCTCCACGTGTAGTGTAACCGGGAATCTAGGTAATCTACCGTGGCGGGTAATGGAAATGAAGAAACGATCTCCAAATACGTGTACTCTCCAATGTTTACTCTTGCAAGAAAAACAACTTGACTCGCTCCAGGCTGGGGGTTACGTACGGAACACCGTTGAGAGAACATCGTCCTGACGCCAAGGTCAGTGCGGGGACAGACTTGGCACTGTGGGCTGGTTCTGGGGCAGGTCGCTGGGGGAAGCTCCTGTCCCCTGTTCATTCTGCCCAAGTGTTCCCCCGGGGCAGTCTTGAAAAGCAACCGGCCGTCCCTCCCTCCTGCGTCGCACACCGGGTCCATTTAATCAAACTCACCTCTGCAAACACGACACGCCCTCCGTCTCGTCCGCACAGCGAATACCCTCCCTCCCCTCCCCGCGCGACATATCGCCGACCGTCGAGCGTCCTTCGAATGTGTCCCCGACCGAGCTCGAATCACTCGAATCCATCCGCCGTCCTTGCCGACTACTACTACTACAAGAAAACGGGGCCCAGCCAGTCGCCGCCGCAGCAGCAACGGGCAGTAACAAGTCCAAGTCAACCACCATCGCGCGTCGCAGAACCCCTACCGACAACTCCATACAACCTCGCCCCACGCGCATAATTGTTTTGGCACCTGCCCACACCCGTCCCGCCGTTTTTGGTTGTTTTTGGTCCCGCCAGCAAGCATAGCAAGCATCGCGATCTGGATTTCTGATTTCCCTCCACATCCCACGTTGAACCTGGCGAACTCCAAGGCAGAGCCCTCAGCCTCGCCAGTGCTGTGGCACTGATTCAGTTGCCAGCCTACGCGCCGACACGCAGCCATGACGTCCGCCGCACTACCAGCACCACACCCGCCTGTTGCTTCCCAGCAGCAGCAGCAGCAGCCCTCCCAGCATCATCATCAACATCAGCACCACCACCAGCATACGCCCTCCACCCCCGCGGCTCCCACCCAGCTGTCATCTGCTGTTTCTCCGCCCAGCAAGCGTGATCTCAAGTCTTGGTGGAAAGGTTTCAAACTCCCTTCCAAGCACCAGGAAGCAAATGGTAACGCAACCTTGTCCACCCCGTCCTGTAACACCAGATCCAAACAGCCCGGAAGGAGACCCATATTTGCGGAGGACATGGAGGGATTGTATAAAGAACTTCCGTCCGCCGCAGTCCTGCTCCAGAACATTGTGCTAGAAGAAGAGAGGCGAGCAGCTCATTCAGCAAGTGCAAACATGAGCCCGCCGCTACCCGAAAGACCGAAGCGACCAGAGGTGCCCAAGTTGGATGCCATCGCCCGCGTCCTAACCTGGCGCCTCAGGAGATTCGCGAGAGGATCGTGCCCAAAACCGTTGTGCCGAGCCGGACCGAAACTAATAGTCGCAGACCAAGCCCGTCCCCAAGGCATCTTTGGTGTTCCCCTCCGGCAGAGCATTACGTATGCCAACGTCGCCATCTCGCTCGTCGACGAGGACGGCAAGAGCTACATCTATGGTTATGTGCCGATCGTGGTAGCAAAATGTGGTATTTTCTTGAAGGAGAGAGGTGCGTGTCCCGTTGTGTACTGTAATCGGGATGGAAGAAAGACGGGCTTTTGTGACTGGGTGTGAGAACTAACATGACGTTGAAGCCACTGAAATTGAGGGCATCTTTCGCCTCAGCGGGTCTGAGAAGCGAATCAAGGAGCTCAAGAACATCTTTGACTCGCCCGATAGGTACGGCAAAGGTCTCGTCTGGGACGGCTACACGGTTCACGACGCCGCCAACGTGCTTCGCCGATACCTGAACGATCTCCCCGAGCCGGTTGTGCCCCTGGATCTTTACGAGAAATTCCGGGAACCTCTGAGAGGGGCCACGAGGCCGGGCGCCGGTGAGGCCGAAGGGCCGCAATTCGTCGAGACGTTCGATATGGACGCCGCCATCAGGAGGTACCAACAGCTCATTACGGAATTACCGCCCCTCAACCGCCAGCTTCTGCTGTACATCCTGGATTTGCTTGCGGTCTTTGCGGCCAAGTCGGACCAGAACAGGATGAATTCGCAGAATCTGGCTGCCATCTTTCAACCTGGCATGCTTTCTCATCCTCACCATGCGATGGCGCCTGAAGAGTACCGGCTGAACCAACTCGTCATCATTTTCCTCATCGAAAACCAGGATCATTTCCTCATTGGCATGCAAGGCACAGGATTGGACGAGAAGACGGCTCAGCAAGTGCAGAACCCCAAGCCTCCGCATACTCCCAACAGGAAGTCTGGGGTTCATCGGTCTGCTTCGACCGCGAGCGCCGGAGCCGAGAGCGTCCGAAAGAATGGGTCGATTCGTAGGAACAAGTCGACCTCTTCAAGACGTTCCATGGCCTCCAACGGCGCCCCGAGTCCTGCGAGCCCAGCTGTTGCCACCACCCCGACCGGTGGACTCAACAGGAGCAACACTGTCCCATCAAAGAAGTCCCCAGCACTACAGGCTGGCAGGTTTGGTAATCGCGGGGAGGCAGTTGTCAGTCCACTGACGCCAATGGCTCCTCCTACCACCGCAGTCATACCTCCCCCAGCAGTGCTAGAAGAAGTTGCTACGCCGGAAGAGACGGAAGCAAACACGCAATTACCGCCAGCGCCGGTACCGGTACCGGTACCGGAAACCACGGCACCAAGCGGGCCACGACCCGAACATCGAGCCGTCCCGCTACCAAACCTGGCTGTGCCAGGTCAGGAGAAGTTGCTCGAGCCCATCTCCCCTGTTCCTGAAGTCACGACACCATCCAAGGAACGGAAGCTGCCAATTTTGTTCCAACGGATTGCCACAAGCGACGGTGAAGGTGGAAAGCCAAACAAGCTGAGGAAGAAAAGGATGCCAGGTAGCGCCAACCCCAGCGCACACAGCTCACAAGCATCACTGTCGCACTCTGCAGCCGCGTCACCAAACACCGAAACACCCAATCCTCTGGAGACAATCTCTTCTGGGTCCAAGCTTGCCATTCCCGGAGATGCTCCAGCTGAGCCAAAGTCGGAAACAGCATCTGACACGACGCCACAGGCGCCAGCACCTCCAGCGCCTCAGCCTACGGTTGCCGATGCAGAAACTCAACACCACACTCTTTTGACGCCCAACGATGCAGAAAACACCTTGAAATCGAAAAAGTCCCCGCCGACGTCGCTGAACAGCTCGTTTAACGAGAGCTCGGACATGGACCAGGTAGATGAGCTGACGGCTGTGACGTCAGAAGTGACCAGTCCTGAGTCGGGAGAAAAGAGCCAAAAGAAGAGATGGCGTCTGTCACGGAAAAAGGAGGACACGGGCCCGTCTTACCCCCCGCTATCCTCTCCCCGGCTGCTCGGAACGCATTCCAACGCCGAAACCAGCACCACGTCGATTGGAAGCTCGGGCTACAAGGGGAGGCAGAGCATGACGGGCGACTCCCTCGATCGGGCCATTGCCAGCGGCGAAGTGTCTTCAGGCGAAGGCGGCGGAAGTGGTGGTAAAGATAAGATCTCGAGCTGGATCAAGAACAAGTACCGTGAGCACAAGGAGAATGTCGAGCAGCGCAGGGCCAAGTCACCGCCTGGTGGCGAGAGGACGGTTTCGATTGGTTCCAGCCTTTTGTCGTCTTCGAGAGGGAAGAGTCTGGATCTTAAGCGGGCAGAGGAGGAGGGTAACAACGTGGCTGGCAGCGGCGGCGTCCCCGCTCCGGCTCCTCCTCCGGCTGTTCCCCCGTTGCCGGCGGCACTACAGCAGGGTACGAATACGGAACCGCAAGAGACGTAGCAACAATGATTAAAGAAAGGGTGGAG